AATCATGCATAAATATGTAATATATGATGTTATACATTCCTGTCATTCGGATAAAATTTATATATAAATAATAATTAAATACTATTTCTGGTATATTCGATATTATATCATGACGCAAATACACCAACTTGATATATATACCACCATTTAAAAAATATATAGATATATATTAATAAAAATAAAGGAAAAAGATATTCGCAAAAGATATTTTAGCGTTTGTTATCTGATCTGTGTTGGTGTCTTGTTGGACTGTTGATTGCTGTGAGAAGCCTAAATTCCTTAAATCGCTAATGCATTATAAATTAGCTGTGACGTTCTTGGGTTGCAGGACTCACACACTGCAAGGTGTTTTGACTTCTCATCGAGAGCTTTAAAATCGTGCAKTTTGCTCGAGATCTCGTGACCAAAGTAACTGAGTACTAGCAGACGGTGCACGCAAGATAGCCTGTTACGAAGAAAGGTAGTAATGTCGATCTGCGCTTTTATACAAATGGCGGGAAACAGACAGATCATGACTGAAGGAGCGATGGATAATGCGAGATCATTTCCCGAAGAGTAGAAGAAGGCCTGTTTGATTTTTGGTTCAAAGGTGTTCGGCATTTTACTTCCTCTTTTTTCAACTACCTCGAATACACATTTTCATACTGCGTGAGGTCCTTGGCCTGAAGGGGTTATTATAGTACGTAACTGATCCAGTAGAACAGATAAGCCAAGGATTGTCCAGCTGATTACATATCGGTGCTGTGGATGATTGTTATCAGATAAAAAATTAGGTACTTGCTTTGTTATTATGGGAGGGGAGAGGAGGGGAGAGGAGAGGAGAGGAGAGGAGCTTATGCATTCTTTTCCACAAGAAAAACATGTACAGCTAAGAGCGATATATAGGAACTCGTCTTCTTAAAGCCTTTTTGTGGTTTGCGTGACGTGACGAGCGAACGCCAAAACAAATGAAGGAAAGCCGTGATAGAAAGAATGAATGAGATTAAAATGAGTGACCCAGTTAAAACACGCTGTTATGCGCGCTGGCGAAGCATTTTGGTTGACGAACAAAGAAACGAACGAGCGAAAGCAAAAATTAACAAATCAATGAATCGAATGAGCACAAAATGGGCTCAATGGGTAACGCAATAAAAATACACAGTCACGCACGTCATGAGAAGCTAACGGCGTGATAATGACACAATACTCGGAAACATCGAATCAAGTGTGCTGGACACAGAGGCGTCAGAAAATCACACGAGATGAAAATGGAAGTGGAAAAAAATCACCCGATGGATAAGTCCACGGAAATGACATAAACGAGACTGAGCCCAACACAAAAATATTTTATAAAAGAACGACTCAGCACCATTAAGGCATGGCTCTTTTGAAGAAGTGATGGAAAATCAGTTATTTATTCATATCTTTGACAGTTTACTATGAATCTTTCCCCAATTTGGCTCGTAGTAGTAATTCTTCAAGGCAAGCAATTACCGCATATCTGTTACCATGGAAACCAGGTCACGTGACCACAA